CAAAGTTTCTAATTATTTAACAAAATTGTTGAACAGAACAAAATTCAGTTTTTTAATAACAAAAAAAGTAACAAAAATATGAAAGTTTCCAATTTATTTTTGTTTCGCCTGTCTTACAAAATTTTGCAAGAATTTTTGCATTTATCAAGTGATTTCTGCGGAAACTTTGCAAAGCGAGTATATGGTCTAATCCTCCATTTCCAAACCTAAACTCAAATTGCAAAAAGATTCCGTTAAGCTTTCCCCTCCCCCTCCCCAACGTTTACCCCTTTGCTCCCCAACAATCCCCCTAACGTTTGTCTCTTTGCTTCCCCCCTCCCCCCTGAACAACCCCCTTCCACCTGAACTCGCCCCCCGCCTGAACACAGACACCCCACCTGAACCCAACCCGTCCCCAACCTGAAAACACCCCTCCTGACTGAAGCCTCCCCCCCCCCCCCCGAACCGCTCCCTTTACCTGAGCACCCCTCTCACCTGAACAACCCCTCCCCCACCTTAACCCACCGCCTTTCCCACCTGAAGCCCCCCCCGGGGGGGGGGGGTTGTTGTAAATGGGAAAAAGCTAGGGGGGTAATGGAAAGAGGATTTGTCCACCTCCACTTTTACGCCCCCCCCCCCCCAAAGTTTGTAATTATTTAACAAAATTGTTGAACAGAACAAAATTCAGTTTTTTAGTAACAAAAAAAGTAACAAAAATATGAAAGTTAGGCAGAAAAAAAATAAATTGAACAACAAGTAATCAACGTAACCAACTTTCATTCAAAATGTAGAAAATACTTTATGTGCGTTGAAGTTCGCATTCTCAGTAAAGTGGAAAAAAGACAATTATAATTTAGTTTTGTTGTCAGTGTCCACAAAAGTGAAAAAAATCGATTATAATGGATGAAAAAAGGTTTTTTGTTGACTCGGAATAGAATAATATTATAATCCATTTTTAATTGACTATAGTCGACTTTTGTGGACACTGACAAGGAAACTAAATTATAATAGATTTTTATTCATGGAACTCCAATGCGGGTTGGTTGATCCGTAGCAAAATCACAAAAAAAATCACACCAATAGTTTTTTTGTTGTAAACAGCTGTTGCAGAGCGTTACATTTAAAGCTTGGCTCAAATAAACAATGCAGTTTGAGCGAAGTTTCAAAATAACTTACCAATGGGAACTCAGTTTAGATGATCACACGTTTTTTAAACTTGCGTTTACAGATTTGTTACAGCATAAGTTAATCCGCAGTCGATGCGGTGAGCCAATTTCCTACAATTTTGATTTTTCAACTAATCACAATCGTAAAAACTTTAACGGTTTGCTTGCTTTGCTGCTTTTGTCACTATGGGCAATTTGTCAAAATTCATGGGTGCTGGACAACAACCCGCGGGACTTCAAGCCGAATAGAAAAAAAATGTCAGGAAGCCGAAAATTTGAATGCAAATTTAGAAAATAACTTAAAAAGGTCGCGGAAACGAAAATTTTCGTTCCGGTTGAGCCTTTGAGAATAAGTACCAATGTTCTAAAACAGTTTTATTTATTATATCCTAACTAAATATGGATTTTTTTTATCGAAGCCAAAAACAAAAAGGGTCAAGTTATAAACGGATAAAAGGGTTCAATTATAAAAGGATTTGTGTTCCGAAGAAATAAAACTGATGAAAACTTTATTTACTTCAAATGTTTTGAAATCAATTGTCCATCGCGTGTAACAATGACAGGAGACTCAAAATCGGTTTTAAAAAAACCTGGAGATCACAATCACGTCCCCCCAGACGAAACAATTCTGCAAGAAACTTTTCGAAAAACAGTGATTCAGAGCGTTGAGCAAAATGTCAATAGAAGTTTGAAGAAATCGTATGACAAAGCAATACAGTGGATTCGAGTGGACAGTGGAGATTTTTTGCCTCCAAAATGCGAAAAAAAAGGAAAAAAGCATGAGTCAAAAAAAAGCAGAAATTTTACCAGAATCTCCAAAAACTTTAGAAGACGTGAAAAATGAGGGTGCATGGCGAAAAACGAAACAAGGTCAAGAATTTGTTCTTCATTAAGAAATTGGTCTGGTAACTTTTGCGACAACTGAAGGCCTAGAGTTTTTGGTTCGTTCAAAAATATTATGAACGATGGAACTTTTAAATCGGCACCCCCGCCGTTTAACTAAATTTTTGCGTTATTCGGAATTAACGGTGAATGGATTGTTCTGGTAGTTTGGGCGTTTTTGGTCTCAAAAACTGAAGAAACTTTCTCAAAATTTTTTACAATTTTGAGCGAAAAATCGTTCGAAAGTTTTTCGGTTTATTTGATGCCAGAATCAATCATTACAGATTATGAAAGCGGGGCAGTTGCAGCTGTCAAGAAAATTTTCGCTTTATCTACTCCTTGAGGATGCTGGTTCAACAATGTATACTTCGAAACTTTAAAGATTTTGGTCTTCAAAAAAGCTATCAAGACGAAAACCTGAAAAAAAAACAGCGCAAAAGCTTTTCAGTTTAGCGTTTTGCCTGAAATGAAATTGAAGCCGCTCTCGGAAGTTTCGAGGCCGATATCGAAGAAGATCCGATTTTTTCGCGATTCCCAGAAACCGGACAAGTTTATGCTTATATGTGAAATTTTTGGATTTTTGGCCAAATTCTTTTAACTTTATGGAATGTTTATGGAATGTGTTCAATCGGCCCCTGAATTTGAGGACAACCAACAAATGTGAGAGCTGGAATCGTGACTGGAACGCATCTGCGGGGACAAAAAATCCGGTTCATTAGACGGTTGTCCAAAAACTTGGAGAACAGGAGCGCTTTTCGCCACTCGATATACGACGTATTTCTCCAGAAGAAGCATCTCATATTCAAAAAAAGAAGTATCGAGACCTCAATGAGAAAATTTCCCGCCTAAAAAACTTATACTTAGATGGAAGTTGTCTTTGAAAAACTATTGGGAAGGTGTTTCTAATATTTACAGTAAATTTCGTAATTAAATTTCTTGTAAACCGTTTTTTTGTTTTTTTGGCTTGAAGTCCCTTCGGCTTGAAGTCCCGTCGGCTTGTTGTCCTAGACCCAAATTTCATAAGCAAACGTATAAATTAAAGCCTAAATTTCAAATAATTTTCTCTGATAACCTCGTTTAACAAAACTTTAGAGAGTTGTTTCCATGCACTTTAGATATATCAATAACTCCTAGTCCAAATTCTAGTTTTAGTGGGCCTTATAATAAACAATTAGATCGATTCAAAGAAAATCAGAGAAACATTGGTTAAGATAGTTATTTCAAGTTTTTGGGAATCACGCACCGAACAATATGTCCGCGGAAAACTTTGAAACCTTTTCTGCATGAAATTTGAAACAAGTCTTATGATTTGGTTGTAAGCAGTGATACTGTTAGAAGCAAAATGCAAATAAAATTCCTGGAAAAAAGTCATACCTTGGTAAAAAAAACTTCCTTTTTGGATTTTTAGTGCCATGCACAGAAGGTATATTTGAACATAACTTCACAAGAGAAATATCTTGAACTTGACGGAGAACACTTTGACTCCTTGTTTTCATTGTGCATTGGCTCAGTTTTTACCGGTTGGTTCAATGAACAGTTAAAAATATCTTGGAACCCAATTTAAGGTTCAAAAAGCTTTCATAATGTACCACTTGCGATGCAAAAAATTAGCACGGCAGCTAACCTAATAAAGTAGGCAAAAAAGCAACTGAAAAAACAAACAAAAAATTGGTTTTTCTAAAACCTATCTCGAATGCTGTTGAATTTCAGGAAAAATAACGAGAGGCCCAATTGCCAGTGTTGAATAAAAACTGTACACAAAATTGATCAAGCTCTAACAGAGCAATCACGATATGGGTAGACGAATGTTGAGTTTAAAAAAACGGGAAGCAAAAATGAAATAAAAAAACTTTGGTCCTTCAAAAGACGAATAGTGAGGCTTCTAAACAGATATAGCATCTGCCGAAACCTGGCGAAGTCCAAGATACCTTAAGTTGAAAAAAAATTAGAAGTCAGCAAAAAAGCTAGAAAAAATTTAGTTGGCGCAAAACAAACATTTAAAATTTGAAAGGAATGGCCATTTACAAGGCAGTGTATGGCCATTTACAATGCCAGGCATTTCATCAGAGCAGATGTGCCAAATGATTCGACTGACTTTGTGTAATAATTCTTTGACCCAATATAGGCTATACTCCGGTTTCATAAGGTTTGCTAATCGCAAGCGCAATGGAATCTTTTTTAAAAAACAAAAAACAATCCTTAAAATTTAAAGTATACAGCTCGGAAAATTCCAGATCCAGCAAACATTCAAAAACTAAGACCATTAAAAAACAATATAGAACACTTCGACTGAAAATTTGATAACTAAAATTCTCTAAGATATCTGATTTACTCCGTTTTTACTCCGTATGAAAAATTAAAAAACTCTCAAAGGAATTGACCCATCTTAAATTTGCGTGGAAGTTCCCGCCAGGAAGTCGAGGCCCTCGCCATTCGAATCACCACCCCTCCCCTCGCCACCCAAAAAGTCCCCAGTACGACTCCCAATTTTGCCTAACACGCATTTATTTTAAAAGTGGGAGTGAGACAAAACGCTATTTTTATTTTGAAAAGCCTGTAAAGGAGGAGCCTTTTAAGCTAATTCAGATTTTTGGAAGAGCGCAGAAAATTTTGTATCACTATTTATTTTATTGAGAAAGCTAGATACTCTCGAAAAAATCCAAGGTCAAACCCTGAATTAAACCATTTGAAAGGTAGTTAATGTGAGAGCGTATTTGTGTGCTTCTGATTTTGTGAAAATGCTTCACAACAAGAAAAAATCTACTATTCGATTTGATCACCTTAAATGAAAATAACAAAAAGTTTGAATTTGATTATTTCTTCAGCCGATTTTGGTTTCAAAACATCTTTTTTCCTCAATAAATTTTATTTAAAGAAAACAATTAGTTGTTTAATATCTGCAGAAAACCCGAAGAAATAATAGAACCCTATCGAACAAGATTTAAATTGCCTATTATTTCATTGATATTGGCGTTAGTACATGGCTTCTCCAGCTACTTCTTTGATCCAAGGGACATAGTCTAGAACATCGGCATAGACTCCCGGTTGTCTGGCTTGCGCACAGCCAGATCCCCACGACACAACGCCAATCAACTCGAAGGCTCCGTCCGCATTCTTCATGGCCAGAGGACCTCCAGAGTCGCCCTGGCAGGAGTCCTGCATCCCTTCTTCGTATCCAGCGCACACCATACAATCCTTAATTAGTCCTCCATACCATTGCTTGCATGTGTCTTTGGGAATCACGGGAACCTGCACGACACTCAAGATGTTCCCATTTGACGTTCCTCTCGTGTCCCCCCACCCCATTGTGACTGTGTTTTCACCACCCTGTACCTCGACCGTAGGCAGACAGATAGGCTGAATTTGATCAGTGAAAGGCACTGGCTCGGTCATTTTCAGAATTGCGATGTCGTTTGAGTTCCAGCCATCTTTGCTGTACCTCGGGTGAAGAGTGATCTTTTCCACGTATCTCCTTTCTTGTCCGGTTTCAATCTCGTATCCCAGTTTCTGATCTTTGTCGGCGAAGAAGAGTTTCAAACTACTAGGGTCCTGGCCTTCCCAAAAACAATGGGCGGCGGAGATGACATTATATTTGTCGTATACAGCTCCTCCGCACCAGTGTTGCCAGCCCATTTTGATATTGACCATAAAAGGATACGCACCTCGGACTGGTACGTAAGATCCATTGATGATTCTCTCTATCTGAGGCTCAAACAAGGGAGCTTGCCCGCACTGAAATGATCTAGGAGATGGTGATTCAGTGACATTTATCTCACGCACTTCTGGTTTCAGTATTTCGATGCGCTTGAAACCCTCTGATGGTCTCGCAAAAACCGTTATGGCAAAAATTACTACAAAACAGGTTATTTTGAGCATCTTCTTAGCAATAGACTCCTTGGAGTTTTCAAGTTTCGATTTTACAAAAATGATAGAGGAAACGCCAAGATGACAGAACATTCCCAGGCGTTGCATTTTATACTAGTTTAATCATTTTCACTCCACCTCTGTCTGAGGCTAAAATTGTTTTCACCGAAATTAGTCGCACTAACACATGCCAGCTCTACTCAAGTTGTATGCTAAATTGGTTTTCTAGACTTCAAAGTCGGCTACGAAAAGTTCCGCTAGTCAATCGACCATGGAAGAAAATTTTCAATTTTGTGCCGACCCACAAAAATTTCCAGTAATAAGGACGATAAGTTTTCCAATTAAGGCAAGGACAGAGTACTTGAGAGCAAAAACTCTAAAGAAAAATAATTTGCGAGCTCCACCTTCTTCAATTGCAAATTTTCAAAATTAATTCAATTGCGTCTCAATGTGCGTACTCAATACTAACACATGTGAAGTCGGAAGCCTCAAATGTCGAAGTGTAGCATAGCAGTTCAATGACTGCATGTAGACTTTGTAATTTTAAGGAAATGCTTCGTGCACACAGAAATGATACTTCATAATTTTCTGTAGAATAAGCAATACTTTCGCTTTTCTTTTATGACATCCATTTTTTCGCTAAATTTGAGAGGGGAGCACGCGCCGTAAACGCGGGATTTTTAAGTCAAAAGGGCACAGCCACCGGTTCAAGCGCAGAAATTTTTGACAAAATAGGGTCTTTATAAGGTTTTAAGGGATCCCAGAAACGCAATTTGGTCCACCTAAAAAATTTGAGAAACGAGAAAACTTTCAAACTTTTTTCGATAATAATCTTTTTTCAGCACATTTTTTGGTGCTTCTCAATTTCTTTACATACTTGCGCTAAATTAGCAGCTTTAGGATTCTTGTTCCGATTATTGAAAATGGCGAGTAACTTTGTTTTTGGATGTGTGTTTTAGTTTTTTTCTACGCCAAATCAGGTACAACAAATAATAATCGGAATGGGTAAATTTATATACATAAATGTTCGAAACCCTTTTAGTCGTAATTCGAATAAAATTTGATTCTCTTTTATAAATTGTCCCAATGTCGAGAAAACCGGTTGGAATTTTTTGTGTTTCAGTCTAACTTCAAGCGAGTATAATACCTCGCTCGCTTTACTCGCTCAATTTTAGACTATAGTTTTTCATTTAAGTTGGGAAATTCTCTGTTTTACTGGTTTCAGAACAAACTAGGAAAAACTAGTTTTGGAATTTTCAATTACGCTTCCTTAGCAATGAAATTAAAAAAAAAACATGTTAAAAACTTTTATCTCAAATTTTAAATTTATTTTTTTTTCGCTTTGAATAGGACTTTTGTCGGTTAGCTCGCATTCAATAAAAGTTCTACAATTTCGTATGACTCTCTCATCACAACACTCAAAAAAAAACTTTAAATTTTTTTTGAGAGTATGGTCGGAATACTCTGTGCTAATTGCACAGCTACCAGCTATCCTTCTGTTTTTATTGCCTTCGTCGAACTTTTTTTCCCATTATTAAAATCTGAGGGTGGCAAAGGAGCTTCAACATCATTTGGACCTTCAACTTTTGGAAATATGTACACAGTTGTTTCAATTTATGAATACAAGCATGACTTCTAGTAATGGGGCATAACATTTGCATTTTCGGGTGTGTTCTTAATGTTTTATAAGGCACCTAAGGTACATTTTAATTTAAAAAATGTTAAAAAAATATTTAAAAAACTGATTTTTTTTTGAAACTTTAAAAAAAATTTTGCAAACAGAATACAAAGTAACATAATTTGATGCATTAGTCATCTCACGCACTTCTGGTTTCAGTATTTCGATGCGCTTGAAACCCTCTGATGGTCTCGCAAAAACCGTTATGGCAAAAATTACTACAAAACAGGTTATTTTGAGCATCTTCTTAGCAATAGACTCCTTGGAGTTTTCAAGTTTCGATTTTACAAAAATGATAGAGGAAACGCCAAGATGACAGAACATTCCCAGGCGTTGCATTTTATACTAGTTTAATCATTTTCACTCCACCTCTGTCTGAGGCTAAAATTGTTTTCACCGAAATTAGTCGCACTAACACATGCCAGCTCTACTCAAGTTGTATGCTAAATTGGTTTTCTAGACTTCAAAGTCGGCTACGAAAAGTTCCGCTAGTCAATCGACCATGGAAGAAAATTTTCAATTTTGTGCCGACCCACAAAAATTTCCAGTAATAAGGACGATAAGTTTTCCAATTAAGGCAAGGACAGAGTACTTGAGAGCAAAAACTCTAAAGAAAAATAATTTGCGAGCTCCACCTTCTTCAATTGCAAATTTTCAAAATTAATTCAATTGCGTCTCAATGTGCGTACTCAATACTAACACATGTGAAGTCGGAAGCCTCAAATGTCGAAGTGTAGCATAGCAGTTCAATGACTGCATGTAGACTTTGTAATTTTAAGGAAATGCTTCGTGCACACAGAAATGATACTTCATAATTTTCTGTAGAATAAGCAATACTTTCGCTTTTCTTTTATGACATCCATTTTTTCGCTAAATTTGAGAGGGGAGCACGCGCCGTAAACGCGGGATTTTTAAGTCAAAAGGGCACAGCCACCGGTTCAAGCGCAGAAATTTTTGACAAAATAGGGTCTTTATAAGGTTTTAAGGGATCCCAGAAACGCAATTTGGTCCACCTAAAAAATTTGAGAAACGAGAAAACTTTCAAACTTTTTTCGATAATAATCTTTTTTCAGCACATTTTTTGGTGCTTCTCAATTTCTTTACATACTTGCGCTAAATTAGCAGCTTTAGGATTCTTGTTCCGATTATTAAAAATGGCGAGTAACTTTGTTTTTGGATGTGTGTTTTAGTTTTTTTCTACGCCAAATCAGGTACAACAAATAATAATCGGAATGGGTAAATTTATATACATAAATGTTCGAAACCCTTTTAGTCGTAATTCGAATAAAATTTGATTCTCTTTTATAAATTGTCCCAATGTCGAGAAAACCGGTTGGAATTTTTTTGTGTTTCAGTCTAACTTCAAGCGAGTATAATACCTCGCTCGCTTTACTCGCTCAATTTTAGACTATAGTTTTTCATTTAAGTTGGGAAATTCTCTGTTTTACTGGTTTCAGAACAAACTAGGAAAAACTAGTTTTGGAATTTTCAATTACGCTTCCTTAGCAATGAAATTAAAAAAAAAACATGTTAAAAACTTTTATCTCAAATTTCAAATTTATTTTTTTTTTCGCTTTGAATAGGACTTTTGTCGGTTAGCTCGCATTCAATAAAAGTTCTACAATTTCGTATGACTCTCTCATCACAACACTCAAAAAAAAAACTTTACTTTTTTTTTGAGAGTATGGTCGGAATACTCTGTGCTAATTGCACAGCTACCAGTTATCCTTCTGTTTTTATTGCCTTCGTCGAACTTTTTTTCCCATTATTAAAATCTGAGGGTGGCAAAGGAGCTTCAACATCATTTGGAGCTTCAACTTTTGGAAATATGTACACAGTTGTTTCAATTTATGAATACAAGCATGACTTCTAGTAATGGGGCATAACATTTGCATTTTCGGGTGTGTTCTTAATGTTTTATAAGGCACCTAAGGTACATTTTAATTTAAAAATTGTTAAAAAAAATATTTAAAAAACTGATTTTTTTTTAAAACTTTTAAAAAAATTTTGCAAACAGAATACAAAGTAACATAATTTGATGCATTAGTCATCTCAAATAATACGCAGTTTTTATTGGGCCAGGCGAGAGAACAAGTCGTTATTGCTTTAACAAAAACAGGTCTGATAAATTCACCAAAAAAAGATAAAGAAAAAAAATCAATTGTTTACCAAGCAAACCAGCAAACCAAATTGCTCGTATCAGTAAAAAGCCTTAACTGTTTCGACTTTTTTCTGACAACACTTTTTAAAAATTCCGTCCATCCACACGCTATGTAGATTACAAAAAAATATATTTAGTATCGACCAACGTGGAATAGCTTCAGTCAGAGTGTCTCAAATGAAGTTGTAAAAATTTTGAGCCGGATTAAATTGACGATCACGCGCCATTGAACGAAATATATCATGTCGTAATGTCCCAAATTAGCCAAATTGGCATTTTTAATTTCCCTTAACTTTACGTAGAGCAATGGTAGATGAGATATCTTTTTAAGTTTGAGCTCAGAGAAGGGGGTCAATACTGTTCAGCTCGTTTAAAACATCGTTCAAAGAAGGCTGGTGAAAAAGTCGAAAACTGTGGAATAATAATAAAAACCACCTCGAGCATAAATTTTCAATCCTTCCTCCTAAAATTGGAACAACAAAGAAATAAAGTAATTTTAATTATTTCTATAAGAAACTATTTCTAGTCAAAATTTGATGTGCCACATATTTTATTAATAGCTTCAATTATGCGCTAAAACCATTGAACCGTTGAAAACAAAGGCAGATCGGTATCTAAATCATTTTTATACGGAAAAAGCAAAAACCCGAAAAAATAATTGCGATTTTTCAAAGTTCATCAAAAATTGCTTATGCATTTTTATCAATTAACACTTAATTGTTATAACCACCTAATTTCCTTTGAAAAAAATTACACCAAATGCTATAAAAATTTTTGGCCGAATTGAAAAGAAAACGAGAAGAATCCAAAAATCAGATGATGAGAATAATGTGGGTGTTAAAGGGGATGAGAAAATGTAAATGTGGGTGTTACAGATACAAAAACAATACTGCTTAGACCAGTAAAGGTTGGAGTAAAATTAGACAGTGGAGTTAAGTGTTGCAACAAATTTGTTCTAATGCTTTAATTCTGATCATTTGAGCGATGATTCGTTGATACTGCAGTGCTGATCACGTCTCAATATGTTTTGATCAACCATGGTTCACCAATAGAAAATGTTTTTTTTTCTGTGGTGAAAAATTTTGATATGTTTTGTTTTAGCAAAATTTTTATTTGCAAAACTATTTTGAGCAATTAGTCATCTAAATTAATTTTAGATTGAGTATTTGAACGCAAAATTAGATTACTACAGCGCACTCAGAAATTTGCGCTCTCACTTAGAGCCTCATAGTTAAGTACCTTAAAAAGCTTTCGTCAGATTGCCCATTA